GATCCATAATCACGCGCAACAGGTGTGATGCGGCGAGAAATTAAGCTTTCAACATAAATTTCCCCTCGATGATGCAACAGAATTATCCACACGTTATTTTACAATCCGAGGGGAAGAACGAGGCCACTGATAATCACTGAATGGACATAAAGTGCTGACCTCCCTGTCTTCGGTGAAAAATCAGCCTCGATTATGCCTTCGCCGCTAGTTGACACCGCGTCTACATCATCGGCGCACGACACACGATCCTCACCCACTTTCTGTCCAAGTCTCTCCTCATCACCAGCCCATTAATGGGCTTTACATAAATAACCGTAAACACTGATCACTCTGGATAGCCTCTTTATACCAAATTACGAAACATTTGTTCAATCCAATTGATTCCACCAGCTCCAGCTCCAGCTCCAGCTCCAGCTCCACTATTTCAACATATCCTTAAATAATTAATTAACCAATATAAATTATTGTTTATCATTTTTAATATTTGTTCTTGAAGGGAGAAGGAGGGGTGGAGAGGCAGGAGGAGGTATTTGAAATGGTATCTCCGATAATTGACACCTTTAATGATTATTTTTGAAAAAGTTTATTGATGAAGGGAAATAGTCGGATGTGGTGGGAGACAAGGGACAAAAGATGAAGAAGTGGTAAGAATATGGGATATATCGTATACACGAGGAAGAGGTGAGTCTGTGGGATGCTTGAGGGGCCCTACGATTTGTTGGGACCCACCGCGGTGTTTCTGCGCGAGGCACGTAATTACGGACGCAAGGCCGCGCCGTGAGAGGCGTCAAAATCGCTTCCCATCTACCCCAAGCACATCGGGCGCAAGCACCCATTATAGAAATTGATATTTTATTGTGGATGGGGCACGAAAAAAAAAAAAAATCCAACCTCAAGCATTATCCACACAAGCCCAAAACCACAAAGCTATAACCCCCGGGTTATTGAGTTATTTCTGAGTAATTATGAATCAATAACGATAATTTACCGCTGATGACGTTACGAGTATCGATACAAAAAATTATTTTAGGGTGATCCTGGGGGCCTCTGGGCCCCCGGACCTCGATGATTCTCCAGTTGCTCAGGGGGAGACAGCGGGTGGCCCATCATATACATTATGAGATCCCTTTTTTTACCCCCCCCCCCCCCCCCAACCCCCCTGATTTTTACGTGCGCAATTTGCCGAAAAGAGGGAAAAAATTGTTTACATTTAATGGACGTTTTGGCCACTCCGCCGGGAGAAAGTGATGAAAAAATTTAATACCCGGGGATCGTATGTACATTATAACCCGGAGTAAAAAAATTTCATTGGATTTTTTAAACGTGGAGTCACCTCTATTTTTCTACGGTAGACATTTTTTTTTATTTCATCAAATTTTAGAAATTCCCAGTTGATTAATAATATTAAATAAATTAATAGTAAAAAAAAATGAAATGCAATTTGAAGGGTGAAGTCGATTAATTTTTTAACGTTTAATTACACCGAGTTTGAGATATTCAGGATGGCCTGAACTCCCCCATGACAAGCATAAATCATTTGAGAATGGACCAGAAAGGAATGGCTCTCGATTATACGTTTTACACCGCCTCCCCGACCTCCAACTAATTCCAGTGTCATTCCCGCGATTGTAATTTTATTTATAAACGTGATTCACTCCCACTGAGTGATACCAACCAGATGAGGTGAGCAACAAAGAGATGCTGCATTCATCTCGTCTGTTTGTTTCATTCGTATTGGATACGTGAGTATGTTAATTCACCAGTGATGTACACCAGGACATGACCATCGGAGAAGTTGGACAGAAGAATGAGCCAGACATGGGTACCAGGTGGTCCTCTCCAGAATAGGAACCACCTGGAGCAACCGAATTTCTCATCATCTCCCTTTCCTCTCCCCAACCACCATTTTCCCCTCATTTCCCCTCCATTTTCTCCACGTCTTCCCCCACTTTTTTATCCAATAATCCCGCCATTTTCTTAATTACCCGATTCTCCTAATTAAATTAATTTCCAAAATGGATTCCATATTTTTCGTGCAACTCCAGTTGCTCTCGTCTAATTTATCCGCATTTTTTCTAGGATGAAGCAACAAATAAAATTTTTTTCCCCGACGACAAAGAATTTGGTAGGGTAGTCGATCCCCTAGATCAACAAATTTATACCTATCCCTGGGCCCCATGTGCCCCAATAGTATTCCAGCGTAAAGCTGATGAAATGAATGGAATTCTCGTCTGGAATGATGGGACTTCTGCATTGATCGCAATCCATACGATTCCCTCTGACTGGATGATTCTGGATATTTTGCGCGTGGGAACGTTTAATCGTCTCGAAAATCGTCCAATGTTGGGACCACACCGTCGCATTATCGGTGTTTTGGCATGTTATAAGATTCCAGAGTTGTTTCAAAATCCCATCACCCCGCGCACGAGCTCTTCTTCTAACCCCTGCCTCCTGGCCCATTGGCCATTTGGTGTCCTTTAAATCGACTCTAAAAATTCAACTACTGAAGCCTTGGATATCCAATCCTCTTTCGGGGACTCTCCGGAATCTCTTCGACGCCCCAAACGACTGTGGGAACGCGCAGGACTACTACTTTCAGACGTTCACAGACTTGTTTCAGCGTGTTTCAACGCCATTTCAGTTTCTTTTTAAACAGCATTTTTTAGTTTATTTCATCACCAGGGACTAAAACAACCAACACGAGCCGCACTAACATGATCAAACTATTTCAATTTATTTTTATAACAACCGAAAAAAACTCACACCCGAAATAACTTTCATGAAAAATTTTTTTCTACCCCAACATACGCTGGGAGATGAAAATAATTTTGTTATATTCTCAAAATTCTTGTTCATCCCCCTGTGATACTCTACTCCAATTTTTTTCCCCGTCATTCCACCGCGGAATGACAGGAATTCCGCGATGCTACGGTGGACCGATACAATGTATCTCTGACTCTCTCCTCTTGCAATACCAAAAAAAAAACAATAAATTAGTTGATTTACACTCAATCATCCTGTCTAGTAGGAAAAATACCACTGTTCTTTCCCCATCGTCCTTGACCGTCCCTCAAACCGTTGTCCAATTATAAAACAAACCGTTTTTTACCCCCAGGATCATCACTACCAGATTACGGAATGCCCACCAGGGATAATTTATCTGATTCCATTCAGAGAATCGTAAAATACCGAGCAAGACGTTTATGACGATTTTTTAACTTGTCATTCCCGTGGTTTTATAACTCTTTAAAGAAACATGTCTTTTATTATCGATCATCCAGAAACGGTGATTTAGTTCAGCAAGTTTATTTTACCCCATCCGCCCCCTCCATTATCTCTCTTCAACTTCTGAAAAATCCATTGAGATGAAAGAGATGAAAATAATGTACTCCAGCACCATTAAGGATGCCACGCGCGTATATGATCGGTCACGAGACGCCCCAACTCCTGTTTTCTCTGATTTTTATCATCACCAAAAAAATAATCCCACCCTTATAACCTCTTCATGTTGTCAACGATTCCTGATTCCTAATTATACAATATCAATATCAATTTGCAAAAAAAAATTCAGTGCAATTGATGTAATTTTTGGAAAAAAAAATCTCTGTCAAGGATTGGATGAATTTTTATTCCAGGAGATGACGATTTGGGGCAATTCGGTGATGACTGTAGGGACGTCTCTTGGTGTTATACTAAAACAAATTCTTCCACGGGAGTCTCGGGCAATCCCTGGGAGACAAGAATCTCGGGCAGCCGTCGACTTCTCACGGCGGTTTCTTTGATGTTTTCGTCCCAGGCATGGGGATACCCACCATGGGCACCCACTCTTAACCCTTTTCGCTGATTCCTGGCTACTCTCGTCACCCAGCCTCTTCCCTACTCTCCTTTCTTCTCCAGGTTCATTCAGTTTTACTGTTATTGTCATTACCTGCATGGAAAAAATTTCCAGCCGCTCTCATACACCACAAGTAAATTAAATAAATTAAATGCATGGAATAAATCCAAATTCAATTGACTGGTGATTTAAAAAATAATTAATAATAATTAATGTACTTTTGATCGAGTGATTGTTGAAGAAGCGATTGAAATGATTGAAGAGTTTAGACTCGGTATTTGATCGAATGTTTGCCGATAAAATTTGTTACAATTTATTTTCTCACGATCGATCGAAAGATTTATCCCCCCATTCGAAAATGTATTTCCTTCAAAGAACGTAGGTGGTCCCCCCGGCATTGGCCGGCAATAAGGGGTGTCGAGGCCATTAGCGAGAATTCCTATCCTCAGCGGTCAGAATCCTTTTATCCTTGGCAGATACCTCCGGGATTCCTTGGCGTTATCATCGCGTGTACCATTCACCAGTATCGACATCAGAAAATTGAAAGAAAAAAAAAGAGACAATTCCACGTGAGGGGAAGATCCTGAGAGAGAATGATAAAAAAAAAAAGGGGCACAGCTGAAAGAGTTTTAAAACATGAAAACGATACATACGGGGCCTCCCACGATATTACCTCTGTCTTCAGAGTTATGAAGTCGTCCCCATTTCACCCAGTCGTTACGAACCAGTTGGCAATATGTGTTGTATATATATTAAATGTTTCGAATGTTGCACGAACTCGTCTCGAGTTATCTCTCTCTCTTTGCTGTTGCTGCATTGGGAAAAATATTGAATGGTCTGTCGTTTATTCCAGATCGCGAGAGGCCAAAGATCGGTAAAAACCTTGAGGATTGTATCAACATCGATCGTAGATCATCAGTAGATACGTGACTTAATCGCATGTACATCAGTGAAAATGGGACTCGATCATTTCCCATGGAAATTATTTTTTCACTCTCAATGCAATCCAAGAAAAAATTTTATCGAAACAAAAAATCATTGAAATAAATAAAACTCACTGAAATAAATAAATATAAATTGAATAAAAATGGATAAATGAATGGAGTGGGAAAAAATGCAACTTTTTTATAAAACAATTCACATGATTTATTATACATATATCCATATTCATATAGGTGAGCGACAATTTTTTCCGCAGTATATATAAATATAAATTATTGAGAAAAATAGTTGAATCAGCACCCACTGCACTGGTAGAATTGCGGATAATTCAGGGGAGTGTAAAAAAATAATTTAAATATTCTCGTTGCATAAGTTGTACGATTTAATCATAATTCTTTCTCTACAATTCCTAATATTTACAGGCATTTTATGAAAGGGGAGCGCTAATATGTACAGTGTTAAGCACATAACCGGATCGTTTATAAACTCTTAGACTATTTACAAGATAGACTGTACCCCCAGGTACCCCAGGGCGTCCATCTTGCATTAATAAATAACTTGGAAAACATAAGAAAAAAAAAATACAAAAGACTGTATCCAAAAAAGCTCATCGAAAACGGGGGAATCCCCTAATTGATTAAGATATTCCTACTATGTACAATAGAAAATAACCATCGCAGAATAGAAAAATCCCTCTAGCATTCTCTAACCGCTCAATCCATCTCAGTCTTTGATAAAACACTCAACAGAGTGTCAATAAATAATTAAAAAAAAAAAGAAAAAAAAAACACCCCATCCTCGCATAATACTGGACGCGTAATTAACACTGTTAAAAATTAACCCGTGAAATTACCAATTTTCTTGTTTCGTAAAATCATGAAAATTAATATAATTAAACAGTGAAATAAAACGCGGAAGAACTCACAGACATTTTCATAACTGAATTAAAAATATTAACAGGTTAAAATGACAATGGTCTCCTCGTGTTATTTTAATGAAAATTGCATTCCCTTGTGACAACTCAGATGAACCCCTTCACCAGGAAGAGGTGTGAATTGTTGTTAATTCATAGGCACGTGTGTATTGTTTTCTTTGTCCTGCACAACTGACACTTGACCTCGCAGCACCAGTGAAATGTACACGCACATCTCTCAACGACAATAACCTCCTGGGTCTTGTAGCCCCTGCCACAACACATTAAATCACAACCATCGACACCGATACTCGTGTCATTGCACTGTCTACCATGTGTCCCAAGTATACCTAACTTTGGATTTTTTTCACAGAATGGTGGTGATGGCTCCAGGTAAACGAGATCCTTGGCACCTGGTGGTTTGTGCTCAGGATTGTACGGTTTCAGTTGAAAATTGTAACGGTGACGTCTTCCCAGGCCTTGACGTGGCCCATGCACCGAATTGCTCGCTGAATTACTCACTATTGCATTGCCATTTCGTGCTCGATCCGAATTGCTCACCATTACTCTCGAGGCACCATCGAATCGATCCTTCAGGTTGTCACCGATTATACGAAAATTTGGGAGACGCATCCAACACGTCTTCACTGTGCACGAACCCGACATTCCGTGGCATTTGCACTCCTGACGCATCTCCGAGGAGACGTGCTGTTGGCAGAAATGATTTTTTCGTTTATTTATATTTTTATTGATGAATTATTTTGTGCAATTGTGGTGACTCGGGGAATCGGGATCAACTCACCGCTCTGCCAGCTTCGTTATTATGGAGATTCATTTTCTCCCTGAGGTTTCGCCCCCGCTCCCCGGTATCAACAAACTCCCGGGAGAATTTGAATCCATAACCGATGTTGTCCGAACAACCCCCCCACTCCCAGTCGCGCACCTGAGAAGGTGCCCTAGACTGATGAGTGTAATCACAGGAGCATGACTGAATGGTACCCTCGCTGCATGCCCTTGCAATGCTGTGCGTCACTGCTGCACTGGTGATTGCATAAATAAATGCCGTCTCTCTGCATCCTGTCAACGCCAAAAAAAAAAAACACACATTAAATTAATGATAAATTAATATTTACATATAAATTTGTCCATCAGGCATTAAACATCTGATATTTCGAGCTAAAAACGTGGCAAATTGAGGTAACATTTTGAATCGATGAAGATGATGGAAAAAACCTGCAGTGCGATGAGCAAAACCCGGTCGTGATGACTGGCAAGGACACCAGACAGATGAGAGAAGAGGTACGAGGTTAAGGGGGGAGGGCCCTCACGCTCGAGGGGTGAGGGTTTTTGCGCGTTAAACTATTAAGAATCTGTTAATTACGCGAGGCTGAGTTTTACGACTAGCGGCATTATATCGCTGAGCCCCGGGGATCTTTTGATGCGCAGCCGACTAAAAATCTATTGTCCGAGTCCGAGTGGCATGGAGGGGCCCGTCGGGAGGTCCCCACCGATCCCCGCGATCAAAATTCCCCGGAGAATCGGTCCCCACACGCGGTGAGGGGAAATCCACCCCCCGGGTAAGAGAAAAATCGCGGACATCTCCGCTGATCACCCGAAAATTAAGAACTCTGGGGGACAAAATTTTCACCGCTCGTCTCCGGCAATCGGTGGTCGCGTGGGAGGTGATGCCCCCGAGGGGCCCGGGAGGTGGAACGTCTCAATCCACTGGGGCCAACTACCTGAGGGACCCACCGGGTCCTATCTCTTATCTCTGTCTTCTCGGAGGTACAGGGATGGCCGCAGGTGGAAGCGAGTGAGGATGACCTTAACCCCGACTGACGCTGACCCACACCATAACCCCCTCCTCACGGCTTTATACCCTGGGACACACCTTATCTGCATAAGCGCAGGTGCCCACCGGCACCTTTGTAACGATACATCGGTGGAGATATCCCCGGGATTTTTGCACGTGTGAAAATTCATTATTTCAGATTATTCATGCGAGAGCACACGTTGTAATATATTTTTTTATAAATATACCTTTTGAAAAAAGTATGTATAACGATTCTCGTTATCATTCTCGGTATCATATACAAATATAAATATATAAATGTATAAATATATTGATGAACTCGGATTTGAAAAATTGAAAAAAATTATTATGAAACTTATTCTTCCGGTATATGACCTGGAGGTAGTTCCCCAGGTCGAATGATGAGAAATAATAACTGTAACAAATTATGAATTGATTTGTGCCCTGAGTGACTTAAAGGAAGTTTCAGTCCCGAATGGTTTCGTAAACTCGGTGGAACGGCGTAAATCAGGGGTCCAGGGGCCCATTCAGGCTTCCGTACAGGGTAGGACACCCCAAATCGTTCCGAGGATTAACGGAAAAAGGTACTCCCTCACCTTTACAACATGCCAGTTTCCTCTTTCTCTCACTTTTTTTTTTTTCAGAGTCGTCGCGCGCCCTGGCACACTTGGAAAATTATCGGAGAACCTGGTGAAAGGTCCTCGACCACCGGCGGACTACCGAAAAACTTCCATTCTCTTTATCTGAAAAATCTACCTCAAGGTCGAATACTCATCACTCTGTTTGCTCCATTGAAAAATCCTCGTGACGAATTTTTTTTTCTCGTTATACTCCCATGAATTTCTACGGATACGTACCCCGAATTTTAATGACATGATTAACTTCAAGAGTTGATAATTGAATTATTAATATAAATACGTGAATAAATGAATTTGTTTAATTGTCAATTATTTAATTTTTTATGAACATTCGTACTAGAATTGTTGGACGGATTTCGCAAGTGTGGAACGTAATCCACACGCCTATTTCATTTTACGATAGTCAAACATGAGTCAAGGGAATTATCGGGAGAATTGAACGGAAATGGCAGATAATTTGTATTTACCTTGGGCGTATGTTGTCAAACAAATTAAATTGTACTGTTTTATTGATTTATTTTTTATTTTTTCGCGAAAATCGTTGAAGCAAATGGTGAAACTTGGAAATATTACTGTTGTGAAGGGAAAATAACCGGTGGAGAAAAAAAATGGAGGATGTAAAAATGAGTGAAAAGGAGTTCACTAAGTTGGATATCTCGTTTCACGTTTTAGTAAGAAATCGTGGCGTGCCGTCTCCTCGAAACACATGTAGCCCATCATCGTCAGCGATTTATGGCGGCGTAACGCCACGACAAAAACCAGTTCACATCCATATAAGATACGCGGTTTGATACGTATAAACCACGTATCGTATACCAACACTGTCGACAAGTATTGATTGAATTTATCCTATAAATGGACGATTATATCGATGAAGGAAATATTCGACTTGGGGTGGGGGCATCGACACTAGTAGCTGTAGGGGATAGACATTAATGAAGACGTGATTAGAAAGGACAACGAGTTTATTTCATGTTAGATCATGTGATACATGACGGAAAATTTATTCCCGATCGATTGATCGGAATTTAATTATACTATCGTGTTTCATGGCGAATAATCGAGCGTTTTTTCAAGTTCTTTCCTCCAGACAAGCCAGTTCTCGGTGTGTCCTTATTTTTTTTTTATTTTCATATAAATTATTATTTTTCCCCGTGTGGATGAAAAATGTGGGAATGTGAATTATGAGGATATTAAAAATGATAATTTTAGCGGAGGGACGTTTCTGCGGTTATATCGTCGCCCTTTTTTCCTGGAGGTGTGGGAAGAGGGACTCTGGGGCCATCAGAAAATGAAGAGGTCCGAAGGCGAGGAGGTGAGGATACCCCGAAAAAAAGCGTTGCGGTAGGTGCCTTCAACACGGCGGTAAAATGATTACAGACCACTGGCTCACTCACTAGCAGGCAATAATATCGAGTACAAACTCAGACAAAAGTTTCACCATTATTTATATAAACACAGCCCCAAAGATATCGTTCAATCCACCACCCCAAATTCACCCTGAGCAAATAAAAAAATATCTCAAATCCAAATCTCATGGAACTCTGAAAAATATATTATTTCACCTCGCGTGTCGGTCATCTCTGGGGAACGAGTTTTATTCTCCGTCGAATGACCTGTCACTATATACAATTTTTCATTCTCCTCCTAATTTTTATTTCCCACAGGTTTTTTTTTCGGGGCATTTCGCAGAAGTCGAAATGCCGCATGTCATTTTCGAATTCCGGATTTTCCCCTGCACCAAAACCAGATACTCTAGAAAAAAAAATAGAGAAGACGAAAAGTCGTCATCGGGCAGACGATTTTACCGAACCGCGGGCTCGGGAAATAAAAAAAAAAAGGAAACGTTAAAAAACCGGTAGTGCGTCAACAATGAATTCAATCCCACGATCTCGAAATACGACGAGTCCATACGCGTTACACATACGAGATACCGATCTTCCATATGAACCCAAACCCACCCCAGGGCTGACGCCACAAGTATGAGATCTGATGAAATCCAGATGTCTGAATCCAACCCCTCCCTCCAGATTATTTAAATAAAAAATCCAACCTCACACCGAAGCTAAATAAAAGAAAAAAAAAAAACAATTCCCTAATTTTTCTTCACTCCGAAAAATAATCAAGACTAATTATTACCTTTCGGTAATATTGGGCGATTCACCCGATGCCTGAATAAAGCCTGAATAAAGGCTTGTGACCCGTTGCTCCCGAAATCACGTCGGGGCATAAAAAATCAAAGACCGAGTACACAATAACAAAAATCCATGCGACAAACTTGTAGCCCTTTTTTGCCTTTCACTTTCCCTAAGTGGCCATATGGGCCTTTACATAATAGCATGTTCGAGTGTCGGTGAGGGGGAGAGTTGGGGGGTGGGAGGCGGGGGGCTGCGAAAAAGCTCGGCTTACAATCGGCAAAGCGACAAGATCTAAAAGTGCCGCAAAAGGGAACGAGTGAGAGAGTCTCACCGGTACAAGAGGGCCATTATCAGGTTGCAAAACATACATCTGGCCTGAATATACCGAGGGCACGCGCCCAAAAGCCCTTTGAAACACTGCCACGCCCCCTCCCTCAACCCCATTTTTTTTTTAACTCACGATTTATCGGCTCATTTGATTAATTTCAACAAATGATGATTTTTTTAATCAACCGATTAATCCACACAACGTGCAACGCTCACCATTGATTGATCAATCAATTTTTCATTTCATCGGGATTTCTATCTAAAATCAATACGTCTCGAATTCTCAATTATTTATGACCCCAGGCATTGAGTCACGTACGCACACCTCTCATTCGCTTTGAGTAAATATTGATTAATTATTATTATCGAGTCACACTGCGATGTTTGTCTCCTCCTGATTAAAAGGAAAAAAAATGGTAAAACGATCGGGAGATGATACGTTCGCAATTGCACTCCTCCCCCCCCACCCCCTGGGGCTTATCTACCCGTAAATAAACGGGGAATGATCATTAAAAGGCACGCGAGTCGACTTGTGTTTAGTCTCTGCTTGGTTTCTATTAAAAAATCCACCGAGTTTAAACAGCACGTGAGGAGATAATTTTTACGGATTGACGTGTCTAAATAAATAGGGAAGTGTTAGTCAACTGTAGCCACAGATTCTCATGAGTCTCTACCATTGAAGTCTCTTATTCAATTTAAAATCAGACATCAAATAAAATTTTTTTTCCATCCTGAGTGATGTATATTTTAACGACATCTTGAATTTTAACGCTCATTATGAAAATTGAGTGTTAGACGGAAATGAATTTTGCATTGATTATAAATTTTCCTATTCATTTGTTTTATTTTTATTTGAAATTACAATTTGAAAGTTTAATTAAATGTGAGGGGCTGAAAAAATTGTGCGAAAATATTTTAACGGTCTCACGTACCCACCCCTCACCCTCCCCCCAACTCGCGTGCTCTCCATTTATTTTTCTCTTTGTAGTTCTCATCCTTCAATTCGCATTCGAAGACCGGTCCTCGTTTCCCATCCTCTGGCTCTCTCTTCCTTTAACAATGGCATACGTTTTTTTCTGTTGGTAATACGTAAAACGAGTCTTGATACCTCGACGAGATCTGTTTCGTGTAGTTGTCGCTCGAAAATCGAGAGGAAGACAATGAATTTTATGGAGAGATTAAAAATAATTTATTCATCGGGTTTATTTTTTGTCGGGCAAATGGAATTCGAATGAAGACAATTCTCGTTTTATTTTTTTTATTTTATTTATTCATTCATTTGAAAATGTGACAAGGTCGTGTGTCATCCGTTGGTAATTTGTGTCTCACACTCGACGAGAGTTAAGAGACACGCTAATGCAACGGTCGTACGACAAGGTGACGACAGACTGGGGCAGAGGGTCAGTAAATAAATCAAATTTACCAGGGGGCACAGGGGGGGTCATCTTCGTTCATGTTTAGTTGAGTTTTTGGGCCCCATTGGGGTGTAGATGGGGATTACCTCGAGGGCCTACTGTGAGACCATCCACTGGGATATTTCAGACTTTTACAACGCAATAATAGGCCATTCAGTTGCTCATTGGGAGGTGTTTAACATTCGAGGGGATTTTTTTAAAATCATTATAATGTGCCATTCCCATTACCGCAATTATAACTTAATTTTATTTCAATTTAATGTACAATTATAATTATTCAAATGGGAATTGATGAATGATTGATTGTTGTAACTCACCTCGATCGACGATTTTTCCAAATAAATTCTTTCCCCTGAGGAAATTCTTGGTGGAGCAATTCCACCTCCTATTCCTAAACTGGTGCTGACACTCCATAATAGCCTGATTAGCACCCCTGGCAACAGCCATAAGTACCCCAGGATTTTCCCTAGCTAATCTCCTCTGTTTACGCCTGAGTGTAGCATAAACCGTCGGATCCATGTGGAGTGAAGCCGGTGACATTGGCAGAAGATTGTTGGGTTCACCAGCTTTGGCAATTCCCCTGTACAAAAATTGACAAGAAAAAAAAAAATAAAATAAACGAGAATTACTCGCGGTGCGTGAGAATCGTCAACGGCCAACGGTACTTGCACTTGTCAGCGAAATTTCTCTCACGGCGGGAATTAAATTAATTAATTATTTATTCAAGAGCATGCACTTGAACTGGTCCCTGGCGCATTTACGGTATCAATACGTGACGGGGTATTCCATCAAGAATTTCACCGAAAGAGGAAGCCAAGTCGTCCCTCCAAAACAAAAAAAGCAAAAAATCATCTGCATCCCGGAAAAATCATCCCCTGGAGCAGAGAATCCACGGAGATCCCAATCTAACCCCCGGGGAGAGATCATAAAAATTGGGCGGGGGTGGGATGAGGGGGATGTGTGTGTGTGGGGGGAGGGAGGGGTGAGGGTCAATTTCACGTGAAACGGCGCGGGAGAAAAATGCTGAGTAAAAGAGCGAATAATAAAAAGAATGAAAAAATAAAATAAAAAAAGTGAAAAATAAAACCGGCTTGGTCGCCCTCGTTCCCTGAGAATCTCTCAAGAATTCTAAATGATCTCCGGGGGCCAGCGCGCACGCCCTCGTATAAACACTCGACAAGATTGGATCTCACGTCGCGCTCCAAGTGTCGTCGGTCTGGTATAATAAACAGTCCCTGAAGTTTCACGGGTTGACGTTGACGTGTGCCTTTGGCCAACGGTTCCAACTGGCAAAAAATGCCCACGTGAGCCACGAGTAAGAGGGATGCAGATATAACGGAGACGATGAAAAGTGAAAGTCTTTCTCATACCGTATGAAATTACAAACTCACCGCCAACACCTGATTCATCCACATAATTACTAACAATTTATGTTTTATCACATTTTATTATATTTTATAACGCTCTATTATATTTTATTATGTTTCATAATACCGCGAGACGCGTGTCGGTGATGATAAACCATTGGCCAATTAAAATTAATAACTCCGATATTAAATTAGTCGGATGATTCGCGGTCGAGCAGTTGTCCATCCGATAATTTAAAACGAGATAATTCATTCGTGTCATTAATTAATGATCATTAACATTGGGTACGTACCACCACATGGAGCCTCTTCCCCTGTTCTTATTCCTGCTTATATCAGCGGGAATTGCTGGCACAGCCACAGCCAGCGCACCCAATATCATCCACAGTCTCATTGTTTAAACAATTAGTGTTTACCAACCAGAACTAATTCCTATGGGTCACCAAGCACTCGACGATTAACGTCAAACCACCATTACCATAATTATTAATCCACTCGACACGCATTTAAATTATTGCAACTCAATTATTCTCAATTTATTAAATTTTTTATATTTATATCTCATGTGATAATCAACTTGACACTTGACGTTTTACTCAGTCCAAGTTTGTTCAACCGTTGAAATGGTACTTTTGGTGGCCTGAGGGTACCGATACTTCCGTAAGACTGCCAAGACGTCTCAGTTTGAGCCGTCTCTCTTCCCAAATGTGTGCGCAACCCCCTCCGGTTTTTCGGCACTCACTTTTTCTCCATTGGAAAAATAAATGAGAGAGAGGGCAATACCTGAACTACCCGAATACGGTACTGAACACCGGTGGTGGGGATAAGGGTCGTTTTTACCTGCCAACCACCCTCTGAACCCCTCCCCACCCGACCCCTCCGGGCCCACCGAC